TGTGTGTGTGTGTGTGTGTGTGTGTGTGTGTCTGTGTGTTAATTGATCATCCCAAGGGAGCTTGGTCAAGGTGGAATTCATTCTATCACAGCTTCCTCCCCCAAATTAGTCCCGAGTTCAGGGCCTATATAGCTAACAGGGGAGATAATGCCCATAAAGAGCTTTTTTCAAACAAAAATTACACAGTAGCGTCCCTTGATTTCACTCATTACTTTTTCGAATAGCCAAATTAATCTGCAATTCTTTTTCTCTCTAAATTGTTTTACAAAAATTCATTGTGGTTTACTTTACTTCTCCCTCTCTTCAGAAATACCCCCCCCCCCCCAAAAAAAAAGCAAAAAACGAAATAAGGAAGCCTTGATTTCAGTTATCACTCTGTCGCAATTGTCAACAAGCAAATACATAAACAAAGAAACAAAAAAGAATAGTTTTGATTTCGTTTGCCACTCTATCACAGATAAATGATAAAAGAAACATATCTTCTCTTGTTCATAATTTTTATAAAGCACACACGAACAAGAACAGTGTTGATTTTCCTTATCAGAAGGTCATTCTTTCCATCATCCATTAGACTTCATCCATCTTAATCATCTTGTTATAAGTATTCGTATGACTCAAAAGCATGCATCAGAATACCATTGAGTTACAATGAGAATGCTGAGTACATATCTAGCTTAACATTATTATCGTTGTATAATATATTACTGTTCATTTATATTACGCATGAGACTGTGAGCCTGTTTGTGAGTGCAAGCATACTGCGTGTTTGTACAGGTTTGTGTGTGTGTGTATGTGCGCGCGCGTGTGTGTGTGTGTGTGTGTGTGTATGTGTGTGTGTGTGTCCGTATGCGTGTGTGTACGTTGTAAAACACCAAACCAATGTACCAGAATCTGGACAATAAAGATGTGTCTTATCTTATCTTATCTTATCTTATCTCATCTCATTTAATCCCTTCTCATATAATCTCCAACAAACAAATATCAATCAAATTCCTTTTGTCCTGACCTGGTTAACTTGACACTCACAGGCAGTGTTTGATCTTGTCTGGTCTTGTGTTATGTTATGTTTTGTTATCTTATCTCATCTAATCTCGTCTCATCTCATCTCATCTCATCTCATCTCATCTCATCTCATCACATCACATCACATCTCATCTTACTTATGAACTGAACTGGTCTAATCTCTTCTCGTCTCATCTCGTCCCATCTCATCTCATCTATTCGCACCGCATTCCATCTCATTTCATCTCACAGCATCTCATTTTACTTCATCTCATCTCTTCTCATCTCATCTGAACTGAACTAGTCTTATCTCATCTCATTTCATCTGGACTAAGCTGGTCTTATCTCACAGCATCTCATCTCATCTCATCTCATCTCATCTCATCTTGTCTCATAAACAAACAAACATCAAGCAAAATCCTACTGTCCTGACTCAGGTTGACGTGACCGTGACACTCACAGGCAGTGTCTGATCTTGTGTGGTCTTGTCTTGTGTTATGTTTCATTGTCTTATCTTATCTCATCTAATCTCATCTCATCTCTTTTCATCTCATCTCTTCTGACACTCCTATCAGCAACTCCCCCACTTCTCTCTCTCTCTCTCTCTCTCTC